TACAATAAACAATTCCCATCTATTGGCCTTGTGTTGGGTAATCCTTTTTTCCATTTCAGATCCCATCCCAACAGCGCCATCTGTTGACGTAACGTCAGAATTGACAGGCATAATGTTCACTGTTCCTTTAAGTTTCGTTTTCTGTCCGTCTGCCGACAGCGCGCTGATTCATTGCTTTACATACCAAGGTTTAAGTACACTGTGTCAATAGTTGTAGTATGAGCATCGTCTGGGAGAATCGGTATGCTCTTCCTCCTGTGTCCACTTCCTCTCCTGTCACCTATGACCCCTTTTATACACCCCACCACCAAGTGTTCAAAATAACATTCAGGGTGTCCGCGGGGTCTTAAAAAGTATTCAAAGTTGATAAATCAATTTAGCAAAAATAAAAATAAGTATTAAACGGCATTTTCCAAGGTATTAAGAAGGTCCACAGCAACGACAACATGAAACACCCTTTAATTTACTGAAACAACATGTCGGGAAACCACAGGGTGAGTCTGGGAAGCTCAGACACTCTCCCTCACAGCTCCTCAGTACTGACAGCATCTCCACTGACTCCTGGAGCACAGAGTGAGTCTGTGGAAGCTCAAACCAGAGATGGGGACTCGAGTTTGTGACTCGGACTCGAGTCGCACTTAAGTCGCACACACAGAGACTTCAGACTTGACTTGGACTCCTGCTCAAAAGACTTCGGACTCAACTTGGACTCTTGTTTTGGGACTCGTGAACAATCATTGTGTTTTCTATTTTTGGCGTATTAAAGGTGGGGTAGGTAAGTTTGAGAAACCGGCTCGAGATCGCTAGAATTTGAAAATACACAACCGGAGAAAATCTGCCACTTCCTCACAGAGCCCCTCCTCCAACACACACGAACGCGCACATGACCAATGAGGGCTCGAGATAAGTGTGTGCACAGATGGAAGGCTGACAGGCAGGTAGGCCATCCAGTTACTTTAGCCGGGCCGGCTAAAGTAACTGGTCGTGCTTTTTACAGTATTACGGCTTCCACAGATGACTCTTTTTAATGGATCTTTTGTCAAAGCACTCGGTTAGCAAACATGTTTAGCTCAGCATCAGCTATGTAATGTTAACTTCGCTTGCTACTAGCTTTGTAACTGAATATTTGAAAATATGAGTGAATGTTTGCTTGTCACACTTGTTTGCGTTGAATGACGTTGACATCCAACTCTTGACATGACATAAAAAAGGTCGGTAAAGTTAATCATTACGTTCCGCTGCCACCATCTACTGGCTAACGTTAAACGTAGATAAATACATAGTTACATACATAAATACATCTGTCGGTTTATAGGCAGGTTACAGGTTTATTGTTGACCACGTAACGTTAATGTTACAGGTTTATCAGGTTACCATTACACTGGGTTTGAGTGAGAGGATAGAGGAATATGTTTATTTATAGTAGACTTAAAAGATGTCATTAGAGACCCAGTGTAATTAAACAATACGGTTGCAGAGGTCACATTTTAACATGTTTGTCCACTGGCCAAATGGCTAGCCTAGTGAATGTTGAAATGTTACCAGCCACTCAATAGATTGCCATTGTTATTGTTGGCTGGTGCGTGCAACATACAGAACCAGCCACTTGCATGATTTACCAGCATCTGGCTGGTAAATGGTGTTAATGGTAGATATCTCTTTTGGAACAGGTCATGTTTTAATATCACCAGTTCAGTATATTTCAGATAATATTGCAGCAATAGTTTTTTAGTTGCAAATGGCACAGAACAAATGTTTACTTTGAAGTACTTTTAACACAGTTTCCCTGCGGGGGATTAATAAAGTATTTGTGATACTGATTTCTGATTCTGAAGTGTTTTGCTTATAAGTTGTTTGCATTTAGCTAAAGTGTGATGTTTGTCCTCACATTGCAATAGCCTGTTTAAAGTGATCATATAACAACTAATCAGTACTGATACTGTATGCTAATAGATATAGGAGTGATAATAATACAGTACATGCTTTGAATGTCTTAGATATAGCTGTGCAGTATTCTTAACAGACTGGATAGCAGCAGACAATAGAAGGCTTATTACAACCAGAAGAGACATGAGACTTTTATTTTGTAGAGACTTGAGACTTGACTTGGACTCGTGACCAAAGACTTGAGACTTGACTTGGACTCGTGACCAAAGACTTGACTTGGACTTGCAAAAAAAGACTTGTGAACATCTCTGCCCTCAAGTACCTCATTCACACCAACGGTGTTTCAGGGCCGGTTCAGAGCTGGAGCTTGAAAAGCACCGGGTTTTCCTCTTCACACCGCAGCGGAGCAGCCTCTTAGCTCCGGAATCCGGTTCGTTTCAAGCACCAAAAAATTGTCCGGCCAGAGCAAAAGCACCACATACGTCACGCTTACGTCGAGGCGGGGGCAGAGATAGATCAACTCCTGAACAACAACAAAAAGCCCGCGTTTTATCCAGTTTGTACACAACGATGGAGAAACTTAACAACTTTCAGAGTTTCAGTGTATCTGCCATAGACTGTATATATAAAGGTTTCTGCTCATGGTGAAGCAACGTGTCTGCGTGTTAAGGTGGAACCTGAGCATTCACGTTGATCACCTCTCATTATAAATCTATAAAACTATAAATATTAAACTTTACGTCACGTGTTCATTTGAGAACAGCTGTTACATACCTGGGTGAAGGTTACAGTTCATTTAAATGAAAGATACAACGTTACTCCACACTCATGGTTCAGTCCACCTTAAGAAATAAGACCGACCTCGGAAGCAGTTGTGTTTTAAAAAAACCTTTATTGACACGAGTACACTTTTTTTATAAGAATATAACTAAACCACAGAAATGACATCCGCGGGGTTTGGCTTTATGAAGCAGGCACGCAAACGGTTACGCCATGACGCAAACGATGAGGCAACACCGCATTACCAGTCGGACTCTGGGCGGTGTGAAAAGAGCCAGAGCTAAACCGAAGAACTGGTTCTGAACCTGAAAAGCTCTAGCACGGAGCTTGAACCGGAGTTGCGTTGGTGTGAATGAGGTAAAGGTGGCCCCATTCATAGCGTGCCATAAAATGCTGCTTCTTATTTTAAGGCAGGCAAAAACATCGTTTTTCAAGTAGGCCTACTGGTCAATTTTGAGATTTTGTGCTATTTTGATTCCATAACATGTTTTCTTTCAGGCTTTTGGAAGGAACACGTACAAAATACACATTTAAGTGTTTATGTTACTATAGTTTGTCTATTTGCGTCTGTATATTTCTCCTAAATTCACCAAAAGTTAGCATTCTAACGTAACATAAAGTACCACGACCGCTGTGTGCACCATGTCAACAGAGGTATCGCTGGAAAGCTCCGTCTCTCCTGCACAATGTCATCGGATCCAAATATGGTCATTTCCTTTGTATCAGCAACCAATCGTGAAAGCACAAAGGGGTCTTAAACCAAGAAACGAAATCTCATTTGCTGGTGTCAATTTCTGACAACGTGATTCGTTCAGATGCGTCACGTGGTGTGCTAAAACACTTCCTGGTTAGCTTTCAGCTACAAATTGAAATCTCAAAATGCCAAAAGAACGGCGAAAAAAACGTTCACAGAGAAGACGACAACAATTGTCACTTGCACGAAGCAAGGTTATAACAAAAAAAATGACCCTGAACATGAAATACCTTCACGGAGTGCGTCGATGCGCAAGCTGTCATCCAAGGAACAGAGGGTTTAGCTAGCGCCTCACTGCAATCTTTAAAGGTCGTTTTCTCAAATTGAGTTTTTTCTCCTACTCTGAGTTCGAAATTCCAACTTCAGTTGCACGTAGATTCACCAAACCTTCAAGTTATATTCCTATCAATATTATGAAGGCTTTTACAGAAGGGTTTGTTCATATATAATTCATAGCCTGAATTATACAACATTGTATACCTAAAAACATGGCGAAAATGGATATTTTAGGGCTGTTGACAGTATTTTCTGATTTATGGAGTGATAAAAAGAGATATCCAATATCCCTTCTGTAAAAGCCTTAGATACTAATATGACTACAAAATGAAACAAGAATTTTGAATCTGGCTATATCCAAAGTTCAGATTTCGATTCCTGAAATGTGTTAAAATATGTGCATATTTAATGAGATAATGGATAATTTGCATGTTTAAACATGCTATTTCAGCAAACTTGTAATACAAAAGACAATTGCCTTATTGTAAGTAATTAACTGGAGAAATGTCTAGCCGATACCTTTAAGTTAATACAATTACCCTATTCACCTGGGGTGTCTCGTTTCGTTGCCTTGCTCCGCTCGGTGGGGGGGGGGGGGGGTATACCTGAGATATATACAGCAGGAGAACACGCCGTCCACCGCGGAGAATAAACAGAAGGGCAACCATGCTCCCGGGTCTTCTTCGCTGCTTTTGGTGTATTTTGTGGCGGCAGCAGCGCCACTTACAGGCCTGGCATATGTACTACAGCGTTTCCAGCATTTCCAGCGGTCTAGTGTGAACGGACGCGTTAATGAATCGAATGCGTGTGAACGGAATACTTTTTTGCGTTTGCGTTTTACTGTATGCGTCCTCGTGGGGCCGGGGTCTAAGCCAAACGATACACATTGTAAAAACCAACCTATAAGATCTACTCAATAAAATGGGGGTAACAATTTGCACACACTTCTTTTGAGTAGATTTTACCCAATGTTTTTGGGTAAAGGTTACTAATATTTAATATATAAGATTTACTTAATAAAACATATTATATATAAATGAGTAATATTTACTCTCAATCATAGGCAGCTGGGTAAAGGTTACTAATATTTAATATATACGACTTACTTTAAGAAATTAAGTAAAATCTAACTCAATTACTTATTACTACTTAAACGTATTACTTATAAATGAGTAATATTTACTCCTAATCGTAGGCAGCTATTTATTTAATAATTGATCCATATTACACATTAATATTACTTTATTAGTAAGGTTACCAGTAAACAATATATTGCCACAAGATTTTATTGATCATGTTTTTTTAATTGACCAAATGTATAAGTGCAATATGGCCATACATTGAGATTATTTAAACAGTTAAATGCATTTCAATTGATAACACTGAGCAGAATCTTCAAAATAGTCACAATCACATTGTTTTAACAGTAAAGTGGGAATTGTAAACATGTTTAACATAATCTTCCAAGTGCAATTTACTCAACTATTAAAACCTTTGAGTGCCAGTAAACAGTCCACTTTTAACAGAACAAGGTTTCTCCACATCCATTACATTCAACATCACATTATTTTGTGTTTGTGTCACTCGGCACTAAAACAAGTCAACATCCACTTGAGAACAAATTGTTTATTTGTGGCTCTGGACCTTTTTGAGCAGCTTGGCTCCATCAAGCTCCAAATACTGTTCTTAGAATACCTCAAATGTGTATTTGAGCTTGTTGGGGTATTCCAGGTTGAGGGTGTAGAGATGAATCCCATCAACAATGCACATGCCTTTGTTTGGTTTCCGCACAAAACTCTGTCTCCCTCTATGACAATGGACACATCTGCTGGTCCCGTCCCTGGCATCATGGATCACAAGCACCTTCATAGTTTGGTCCACGACGTTGTCATGCTCGTCCTCCATGTTGAAAATAAAGAAAGAAAAGTATATTCTCTTTAAATTAGGCATATTAACAAGAAGCTATTATACAATATAGGCTTTGTGGTCTAGCATTAAGCCTAATCAATAAAACCAGGGATTGACTTTTTTTAAATGATTTGTAAAAATGTGTGGCAGCGATTAAAAATAAAACAAGATTTCTAACTTATATAAAAAATGTCAGGCCCAGTCAAATTGCCCATCGATCTAATCAATGACATTAAATTAATTGATTGATGATTCTTTCCCATGAACATAACTTTTCAGTGCATGATTTTATTTATCTTATTTCACTTTAACACCAAAAGAAGGTTTTTGTTTTTAGGTAGTTATATATGTTAAGAAGCAAGCACATCAGTACATTATCCCTAAATCATGTTCCTGTGAATGCTAAACCATTTATAAAAACAATAAGATGTTTACAGATTTACAGCAATAACTTGCATATTTATTTGTTAGGTGTAAGAGTGGTTCATCACAGAAATGAAACAATGGTATCAGAGCAACCTCCGAAATAACTCTTGAAGTGATCAGTCTTTAATGACATACCTGGCTGTCTTGAAAAAGGTCTTCTTGGCGTTCCCCAAGGTCTTCAATCAGGCACCTGGCCACTGCATCTCTTTTCCCAACACTCTGGGCCTGTGAGGAAATGCATTTTAGTGACAAGACTTATTTCTGCATTTTCATATTCTTGAATGAAACATTTAAATAAATGTACCTCATCAATTGTGCTCAGAAGAGGGCGCATCCTGGAGCCAGCATCTCCTCTTTGGCACGCATCAGCTGGAGCGAGTGGTGTTAGTGGACCCATCCAGTTTCAGCATCAAAGTCTCTTCCAGTGAAAGAGTTGTTATGTGTCGGAACTCCTCCTTGATCTAATAAAGAGCATCGGGGACAACACTCATTACTCACAACTCTGACAACAGTGAGTTGAAATGGAAAATAAATAAATGTAATGTTCTCACCTGAGCCTCATTGAATAAACCAGGCCATCTCTCCTTGAAGACACTGACACGTGGGCTGAGGGTCACCACCTCCACTCCACTACGAATTGTCTGCAGGATTTAAAATGTATAGGACTTAGGTGCCGTCTCTGAGGATGTTACACTTATATTCACATTTCTTACACTGAACATTACCAACAAAATAACACAATTAAACATTTTCATGTAGAAAAATCCTAAAATATATAACAATGAGCTTTGGCTCTGCTCCGTGGTAATCTATCCAGTCCTCACGATAATATACAGTAAGCTTAATGTAAACATAAGTCTATAGGCTATTGCTGCAGCTATACCTCAAAAAAGACAAATGAATCATAAATCATTATTACTGTGGCTTGGCAGAATATACGATGGTTATTTTTCACTAAGAGATAGTCGCGAGATAGTTGTCTCAGTATTGATCGTTTCATGCACGCTCATATGAACACAGACACACGAGGAAACTGACGGCCGACGTTAGATAGACTGAGAGAGATGCTACAGGCTAGCTTCAACTTAGTTAGCCTTGTGCATCATTTGAATGTGTCCCCCGCAAACCGTTACTGTACTCAATACTACTCAACCGGGTCAGAGTTCGTCATATTACTTGAACTGACATGTTATTTAATAAACGGCTACTGATTTTTGCAGTGTGCATCACCATTGGATACTGTGTGGAAAATAACATTGGACAAACACACCTTACGACGACCAACTTCAAAGGTTGATTAAACGAATGCCGCCTTCCGCGCGCTGTTCTTGTTAGTACTTAGCTAGCAAACAATAGCCTTCTCTGCTAAGCATGCACGATGCTAATGTGAAACACAACTTGGCTGGTTAACTTACATTAATATACAACTGTCGCCGTGACACTTAACTCATTTCAGACGGCATGCCGTCAACATGCACATTATTGCTGTAATAACAATTATTAACAATATGGAGCTAAACATCATAGTGCTTTACTCTTAGCTCCTATGTTAGCTACAGCTATCTAGCATCAGTGACCGACTTCCAGTGAGTAATAGATGAGAACAAACTTACATTCCTTGTCTAACAGTGAAGCAAGCAGACAACAAGTCTTGTGATGAACCTCAAAAAACGTGAACATGTATATGTAGGACATGATAGACAGTAATATCTTAACTTCCAACATTTCCACACAGCAGGAGGAGGGAGGCGCGAAAGAGAACCGCTCCTCTGGCCTGCAGCCAAGAATCACCGCATGCGCAAAGGGGCAGTGTGGGCCTAATGTCTTCAAGTAGATTTGACCCAGATTGTTTGTGTTTCAGTTGGTACTGTCAGAAATTAGGTAGTGTAGGTAGAATGTACCCATTCAAATATACTAACAATGCTCACTTATATACCTTGAGTACAATTTAAATGATTTGCTTGGATAATATATACTACCCTCCAAAATCCTTTTTTATAGTGCAGGCTGAAGATCATGGATTGTAAAAAGGGCTTTTTGAAAGCCAAAAGACTGCTCCAAGAGAACTATGTGTAGTGTCCCGTCAATTATGTTAAGTTGTGTCATGTTTGTGTTCGTCATGTTCATGTTAGTTTAGTTTATGTTCCACTTCCTGTTTTATTTTGTACTCACGTTGTCTCATTCCAGGTCCCTTTACTTCCTGCTCTGGTCCCTTTTCCCGCCATCGTCAGTGTCTGCCCCGCCCCTGATTGTTTCCACCTGTGCCCACTTACCTCATGTACATATTGTCCTGTCTCCCCTTGTTAGTTGTCGGTTCGTCTTGTTCGTTGTCCCAAGAAGCCAGATCCAAGCCATCGCTTAAGAGATTCAGTGTTGTGCCTTTTTCCCTCCATGAGAGCACGTTACTTTAGTCATTTTGTTATTTCCTCTAAAAGAGTGATTTTGTTTTTTGCAAGTAAAGATTATTTGTTCTTCAAACCTTTTTTGTCTCTGGGTTGTGCATTTGAGTCCTAAACTATTGAGTCAAGGTTCCTAACACTATGGACATCAACTCTTAATCGCAGCAGCTTGTTTGGACAACATGTTGAACTGGAATGCTATAAAGAGTGAAGATAGAAAAGCACTGCATTCTTCTGCTATCTGTCTTCGTGGATGTTGCAACACAATGGAAGAGGTTGAGTTTTTGGATGAAATGAATAGCACATCAAACATGAGAAATGTGATCATGAAACTCCCGTTTAAACGTAGGGAAAAGTGGAGAACAACTGCATATGCATATTATTAACACAATAAGACAAGAGCAAAGTTTCCAATATTGGTCGACTTCATTGAAAAGCATGCTCGCATTGTATCAGACCCCATGTTTGGAGACATACAGGATGTCATGCCAAAAAGGGATATTAAAGTGTACAAGTCACCCAGCAATAAGCCTGCTCATGGTTATAAGGGAAGTAGCTTTGTTACTGTGACAAGCCCAGGAGTCAATGAAGAGCAAAAACCTTTCCAAAACATCAACTCAGACCATAAAGGCATTACTGTTCAGAAGCGCTGTGTACTTTGTGCAGGAGAACACACCTCTGAAACATGTCAGATGAACAAAACATCTCACAATGAAAAGATCGACTGCTCAAGGAATTTGCTTTGGCCGTCTAACGAAAGGACATCTAAGCAAAGACTGTCAGAAAAGAATGAAATGTGAAGTTTGTTCAATGAAACATCCAACAATATCTAAACATCTACAAGAAAAGGATTGAACAAAAAGACAGCTCTGATAAATCCACCCAAGCAGCTTCTGTAAGCATTAGTCTCTTTAGATGGCAGACACCACACTGGGGCCGGTGGGCAACAAACCCTACCAATTATCTCAGTTCAAATCAAGTTGTCAAACTCGACCCAGACTGTGCAGACTTACGCATGTATGGATCAGGGAAGCACTGCACGTTTCTGTACTGAAGCCCTTCAACAACATGTGCATGCCAAAGCCAAGAGAACAAAGATCCTCTTAAAAACAATGGGTCAGGAGAAAGTGACACTTCCTTTGTCAAAGGTCTTGAAGTGAGTTGCATCGAAGGCAATGCTTTTGATCAGCTGCCTAAAGTCTACACACAAGAGGAAAGTCCTGCTGGAAAAGAGCACATTCCCAAGAGACCATCAATCAATGGAAATATCTAAGAGAGATTAAGTGGCCTGAACTGGATTGTGAAATCGGGTCGCTTATAGGAACAAATGCACCAAAGCTAATGGAGCCGTGGAAAATAATAAACAGTCCAAATGGAGGACCCTTTGCTGTGAAGACAGTCCTAGGTTGGGCTGTGAATGGACTGAATCAGGAAACCACTGAATCTGAGGATACTTTATGTTGTTAATGGGATATCAGTGACAGATTTAGGTGAGCTGCTGGAGCAGCAATACAATCATGACTTTCCAGAGAAAGGTTGTGATGAGAAGAGAGAGATGTCAGTTGAAGACAAGCCATTTTTAAAGATCATGTCAGATTCAGCTCAAATCAAAGATGGACATGATCAGCTTGGACTTCCATTCAAACAGAAGAATATCATGATGCCAAACAATCGCAAACTTGCAGAGCAGAGAATCATTAAAAAGGAAATTCAAAAGGAACAAAGTTTTCCATGATGAATATAAAACATTCTTGGAGGCTGTGAGAGCAAAAGGTCGCACTCAGCTACTGCCCCAAGAGCAGCTCAACCCTGAGAGTGGAAAGGTGTGGTACATACCACATCATGGGGTTCAGCACCCAAAGAAGGGCAAGATTCGTGTAGTGTTCGATTGTTCCACATCTTATCAAGGATATTCATTAAATGACTTATTCAGGGTCCCAGTCTTCCCAACACGCTACTTGGTGTGCTCATTCCATTCAGACAAGAACAGATAGCTTTCATGGCTGATGTCGGATGTACCATCAGGTCAAGGTGGCTCCTGCCAATCAAGATTTCGCTTTCTTTGGTGGCCAGGAGGAGATGTCAGTTTACCTCTCGCCGAGTACAGGATGACAGTACATCTATTTGGTGCCACTTCATCAGCAAGTTGTGCAACCTATGCTCTCACTAAAACCGCTGAAGACAACATCTCTACATCTCTCATCTCTCCATCTCTACATCTCTCATCTCTACATCTCTCATCTCTCATCTCTACATCTCTCATCTCTCATCTCTACATCTCTCATCTCTCATCTCTACATCTCTCATCTCTACATCTCTACATCTCTACATCTCTCATCTCTACATCTCTCATCTCTCATCTCTACATCTCTCATCTCTACATCTCTCATCTCTCATCTCTCATCTCTCATCTCTCATCTCTACATCTCTCATCTCTACATCTGTCATCTCTACATCTCTCATCTCTCATCTCTACATCTCTCATCTCTACATCTCTCATCTCTCATCTCTACATCTGTCATCTCTACATCTCTCATCTCTACATCTCTCATCTCTCATCTCTACATCTCTCATCTCTACATCTCTCATCTCTCATCTCTACATCTCTACATCTCTCATCTCTACATCTCTCATCTCTCATCTCTACATCTCTACATCTCTACATCTCTCATCTCTCATCTCTACATCTCTACATCTCTCATCTCTACATCTCTACATCTCTCATCTCTCATCTCTACATCTCTCATCTCTCATCTCTACATCTCTCATCTCTACATCTCTCATCTCTCATCTCTACATCTCTACATCTCTACATCTCTACATCTCTCATCTCTACATCTCTACATCTCTCATCTCTACATCTCTACATCTCTCATCTCTACATCTCTCATCTCTACATCTCTCATCTCTCATCTCTACATCTCTCATCTCTCATCTCTACATCTCTCATCTCTACATCTCTCATCTCTCATCTCTCATCTCTCATCTCTCTACATCTCTCATCTCTCATCTCTCATCTCTACATCTCTCATCTCTCTACATCTCTCACATCTCTCATCTCTACATCTCTCATCTCTACATCTCTCATCTCTCATCTCTACATCTCTCATCTCTACTCTCATCTCTACATCTCTCATCTCTCATCTCTACATCTCTCATCTCTCATCTCTCTCATCTCTCATCTCTCATCTCTACATCTCTACATCTCTCATCTCTCATCTCTACATCTCTCATCTCTACATCTCTCATCTCTACATCTCTACATCTCTCATCTCTACATCTCTCATCTCTCATCTCTACATCTCTCATCTCTCATCTCTACATCTCTCATCTCTCATCTCTACATCTCTCATCTCTACATCTCTCATCTCTCATCTCTCATCTCTACATCTCTACATCTCTCATCTCTCATCTCTACATCTCTCATCTCTCATCTCTACATCTCTCATCTCTACATCTCTACATCTCTCATCTCTACATCTCTACATCTCTCAT